CATTTGTCAGAAATGTCTTCTCTTTTGATTTCATCATTGGGAAAGTGAGAATATCACGTATAATTTTAGAATCCTATTTTTTTAATGTAAATTATGAAAACCTGTTTAATGGACAATGGAGTTATTATAATGTATGTATAATGTGTGGTTAGAAAGGGATGAACTTTCAACCTAATAACCGCGAAAGCGAGCGTCGCTGTGAAAGACGAAAGAAATAATCGCTTTGCAGATAGAAGGCGCGGTACAAGGATAGGGAAGCGGTCGTTAATATGAGATGTCCACTTTTATTACACCTCGACAGCCCCAAGGAACTTCAATTATCGTTGGGTGGTGGGTCGACTCTAACGATGGGAAAATAATAAAATAGAGATAGACACTCTAAAGAAGAGACTAGGATAAGTCGTCATCGCACATTAATAATTCGTTTTTATATCTAATATATATGTTGATTGTGTCCACACGGAAGTACAAAACATCATCGTCAACTTATTGCTTTATTTTATGAGAAAAATAAAATCGTTATTAAAATATCGCTATAGAAATTCCTGTGTCGTATTTTTCAAATCCGGTGCCGACATTTCTTTCCGCGTCTCGTTTTCGCGAGCGATTCTCTCGAGCGACTCCTGGCCGAGGCGACGTAAGCGCCCATCCGAGACCCCCGTCGGAGGGGGGCTCTTCCGCGTCGGCTTAACTTAAAGCATCTCGTCAAGCTCGCTCGTCGTCCACGCAATTTCTCTCGTCGGCACGTGAGCGGACTGTGCAAAGTTTACGGAGCGCGCGTTTGCAAACGCTTGCGCGCGCTCCGTTCGCCAGCGGGAGAAAGAGAGAAAGACCCCTGGACCGCACGGAGGCAGGAGGTTACCGGCGAAGCCGAGAGAGAGAGCCTCCAGAATAAGTATGGCTCGGCTAATAAAACGCGTACGCGCGCGTCGTTACACACAGCGTTCGCTTTCCAAACAAACGCGCGGTTCTCGTCACCGCGCGCACTCGGAAACTCGTACGATTTATCGCCGTCCGTCGTCGTAAACGAGAATCACAACGACAACGAGGACGACGTCATCGTCAACGTCGTCGACGTTCGACGTTCGGCGTCGGTCGTCGTCTCGCGACACGATCGCTAATCGGAGAAAGAGAGGATCGGCTCATCCACCACGCGTTTTCCAGACGCATCCAAACGTTGTTAATGGACATATAGTACATGACGCAGTGGAGATAGTTATTACTATTGCTGAATAGGTCGGGTTAACGCGGAGATAAATCGCGATACTATTTTTACAACGATGAAATCGTATACGTGCGGAGTCGCCTTCGCCTGAGCAACAGCTTGATCGTAAAGCACAAAATGCTCGTTTGAGATTTATTGAAACGCGCTTCCTTCCGTGCGTTTTCCACCGCGAACGGAATGATACACGGTGGAACAGATCGCCTCGCGGATCGCAATACATTTCGAATCATCTCTTATGCAGTTCAACTGCAACTATTTGAGGGTTCTGAATTTACGTATTCTTCGGTATTTCGCAGAAACGATAGCTGATTCACGTGCCGCTTTCCGTTTTCTTTTAACGATTTCTCCAAATTGCTCCGAGTGTACATTACCGCGCATATCATTAACGCTAGTCAAAGGCACGAAATTACGCGCCTTGTATAATAACTTGGATGAATTTCTATACGTGCGAGTGTATTGTGCGAACGCACAAAAGATTCTGATTCATTACGAATTCCATTGTGTTATCGCCCCCCCCCCCCTCCGTTTCCTTTCCTACATCTTTCTCGCGAGCCGCGCGATTACCGTCGAGCGACGACGATCGCGAGGTAGGTTTGCTTTTCAATTATTCTCCGATTTATTCTCAACGTCTCCCGAAGTGAAGCCGCGGGAGCTCAACGCCTCGCCGACCCGTTAAAATGTCACTCGCGAGACGGGCTTATATAACGTAGAAGGAAGCACGTTATGGAAAGCAAAGGCCAGCAGACGATCCTTTGCGCTTTCTACCTTCGATCTTACGATAATTACGTACGTTCACGTATATGTATATGGATATTTACACACGCATACATGTGCGTACACCGTGTCAAACGTACTTGCATGTACACGCGCTCTCTCTCTCGCCATATAGTACGATCCTGTGCTCCTATTTATAGCTCTTTAAAACGAATTAAACTATACAAAATCACATCCTCGAGAAAGCAGTACGCCAATATTATCGCCAACGTTATCGTTCAAGAGGATTTCTAACTCTATTCTAGCTTAAGCAAATGTATTATCACTAAATTAAAAAAAAAATATTAAAATAAGATTAAAATAGAATAAACTCTGAACGTACATTTATACATTTGCCATTTGAATTACTATTAAACTATTTGCACGTTGTTATCCAAATTTAGAGATTCAGATGCAGTTATTGGGAAAGAGTAATCGCTTACTTATATGTAGAATGTATGATGCGTATCGCGCGTAACGGCATGCGGTATCGCGGTATCGCGAGCTCGAAAATTGCCCGGTCGTGATTGCAGTTTCGAAACTGCTCGATTTCTTTCCCGAGATTGGCCCGAAGCTGCTGCTGCTGCTGCTGCTGCTGCATTCGGCGCATTCGTCCGAGGCCCCTCTCCCTGTTTTCCTCTCTCTCCTTCTTTCTTTTCCCTAAGATGCTAACATAAGATTTCCGTTTCCACGATACTCAATAATGGACGGTAACTTGAAGCCTTTTCAGGTTCTAGCACGAAAATGGGAACCGAATTTCATAAAAAAAAAAAAATCTTTCATAATGTTGGAAGGGATTCCACACTCTTTTTCCCCCCCTTCTCGAATCACACTTCTCCATTCACATTTTCTCTAAATTTCACGATTTACGAAACAAACTCCTAATGAGTTAGTAAGTAACAAGTGATTTCACGCTTAACAAGTTGTTGTGTAATTGTTGTGTAATTTTTGCATGTGTATATGCATTTAACAATAATTCTAGGAGCATTTACTTTTACCAAGTATTTTTTCAACGTAATGTGACATTATCGCGAAAATGATAATAATATAATGTAATAGGAGAAACGTCGACGGTCTAACGATATGTTGATGTTAATTCTAATGATATTTCTGTTTGTTGCTGCAGGCGACAACCGCGAGTGGATACTTCGAGGTGCAGATCCTCTCGCTGACGAACAACAGGGGCACCCTGGTGGACGGTAGGTGTTGCGGCGGGGGAGGCGGGGGCGGAAAAGGAGAATTCCCACCATGCACGACCCCTTGCTCGACGGCCTTCTGGCTTTGCCTCAAGGAGTACCAGTCGAACGTCACTGCCATCGGCTCCTGTAGCTTCGGCAACGTATCTAGTCACGCCCTCGGCCCGAACACTTTCACCCTCACTGACCCTGTCACTCTACAACTTCATTTCACCTTCCGATGGACGGTAAGTCGTTATTTTCTAAACTTATATATTTTTTTTTTTTCATGCAAAAATTGTTATTCCCTCGATGTATAATATAAATGGTGTGAAACATCATGTTAAAAAGATTTCACGAACACACATTGACTTATGAGCATCATTTGCCGTGATAAATATTTTTCTGATTATGATTGGCTAATATCGTTTATATTAACATAATATAACACGGAATTGAGCATTGACGAATTTATTGGACAAGTCAGATGATCGCATTTAATGTTAAATACATGTCGAGAGGGCAGAAAAAAAAAGCACTCCTAGAATCGTTCGAGAGCTGAAACATGCGTGGCATCATCTAATATCCGTGAGAACGCGAACGTCGACTGAAAATCTCAACCGGTTGCCGTTACACCGCGTACGCACGAGGCGATGAGGCTTAATTCGATGTCCCCGGATTAATGACGGCGTGCGGTGTATATATATATATATATATATATATATATATATATATATGAGACCGTAATTTTGTTTGGTCACCGGCACAATAACGTCGCGCCAAAAGATGGACGGGCGAGAGGATGAAGTCGTAACGAGGGGACGACATATTTCGGCTTACGAATCAGCCGCCACGGATCATTTATCATCGACACCGTGACACGACGCCGACGGAGAACGGCGGCGTCTCATTAGCGACGCCGCCCCCGGGGGCCGAACTGTAAATATGTGTAAATACGTGTGCGCGTATACCGACGACTACCTACCTTCTTTTCTCGTTCGAGCTTCCATTCTCGAAATCGTCGAAAGCCGGCCGAGTGCGAATCGCTGTTCTTTTGCAACGTGCAATGCTAACGACTGGCAACGACGAGCAGGAGTCGTGCTCGCTTATAACTCGCATTATATCGCCGGTATATCGGACGATATCGCGAATTTCTAGTTTCTCGGTTCCTTTGTCTACACGGTGAGACGAGGTGGCGCGAGAGAGAGAGCTATCGAATCCGCGCGAGGGATTTCCGGTCCGCTGGTCTCTCATCCGCGCGAGTCGTTGCGTAGAATTCCAGTTTGGTTCCAGTCGCTTGGCAACTCCTCATCGTCGGCTCCTCCATCTCTCCCGCTGCGTTCCTTCTTCCGTTTCAAAATTTCACCACGCTCTTGGTGAACTCTCGCGGTGAAATTTTTACGAACGTTCACCCACGTTGAATTTACCTTGCCGCTTCTTCCGTTATGAATCAATTCGCTCGGCCGTGAACGGTCGGTGGTTTTATATGCGAATTTTCCACATTCGATATATCTGGAGGAAATTATTATCCTATGAAAAGTCATTAATCTTGATTCATTTTTCATAATCTTTCACAAACAAGTATAATTACATTTAACATAAAGAAAATATAGAAGCGAAACTATGTAGAAAATGCTCGCTTTAGCATTCTCAAATATTTTACCGTTACGGCATTTGCATGAAACATTTTGTCTAATAAAAAATCGTTAGATTATCGCGCAATGCCCTAGAAAAATTCCATCCTCGAGACTTCGTAGAGTCGGTTTGTCGCGGTATCCAATTAGTAAAGCACCACCTACGACCGTCGTCGTCTAACGTAATTACATGATGTACGCGCGATTTCGAGGATGCCCAAACAGTCCTCTCGAGAGATGTTCAAGTGGGGCAGGCACAGGCGTGCCCTCGTGAGCCGGGTATACTCACAGGACCGTCGAGAGTGCCCCCTTCAGACGACGATGGGTTCGGTAGGTGCCTGACTGGTCCCGAAGGGCACCGCATTCGAAAAAAACGCACCCGTACCTATCTACACGCGGTCGCGTCGTCGTGAGTTGTTTGAAGAGTGCCAGCCTTTCTGTTTGTATATTTCATAACTCGTTCGCGGGTATCCTCCGACGAGAAGAGGACCCATCGCGACAAAGGGACTTTTACCCCGGTCCCGTTTTTTCTGTTTTTCCCTTCTCCCTTTCTTTCTCTTCTCGCCGCCGCGAGGGGTATAAACAGAAACCCTTGAATCGCCTTCCCTCTCGAAGGGACTCCTTCTCCCGCTTCTGACGCGCTACTTTCGGTCGTTTAGCGCCTCTACCGGTCTAATTCAATTATTACGCACCGCTGCTGCGTAATAAAGGAAAAAATACGTAGGAAGCGTACGAAGGCGCGCGAGAGGCGTGGGCATGTTTGCGCGCATCGAAACGCGTCGAAATAATAAGGGTTAAGAGGGGAACCACGAGAGGTGCTGACATAAAAGCCTCGGATGGCTCGGTATCTGGACACGTCGCGCATTCGCGTCGTTCGTGTAACCGCTATATAGAATCGTTTTCGCGTAGTACCCACTACGCAAAACGGTAAACTGCCTGACTTTCATCGTCATCGTTCCGCGGATAACACCGTCATTATCGTCTCCGCTGATTGAATACGGTATATATAATCTCGTCCTCTCGGCTAGCGCCGAGACGCGAGTGAGCGGCGAGGCACTCTTGCGCAGGCTACCGAATGCCACCTGCGCTTGGCGAAGGTTGGCTTGAAAGAGTATATCTATCTATGAGAGAGAGTCCTCTTCTCGCCAATATAAATCCTGTGATTCTCATCAGCGTTGAACGAGCCATCGGCTCGTGCTTTGATCGCGCGTCCATTTTCCCGAGGACTTTCGATCTAACGTTCGTTTCGTTTCTCGCTCGAAATCGGAAAGTAATCTGAGAGCGATTTCTCCGCTTTACGCAAATAACCAGTCGTGCATAAATACGAAAATTGTGATTTGAATTCAAAGTTTCGTATATATATATATGCGGAACTCATTACGATAGAATAGAAATTAGATCATGGAGTCCGTTGAATATACATAGAGGAATCTATAATGCTATGAATAGTTTTAGATTCAGGGTTGATTGCTCCGTATATATACATGTGTAATTTTGGATAAGTTGCATATGCGGATATCGCCATCAGTTGCAAGAGTTTTCTAGTAGCGACCTAGTTTAACGCGAACGTGATGCGGTGGCGATAGCAACGTCAAACATTGTAATCGTCGTCGTCGTCGTCGTCGTCGCCGCCATCATAGTCGACTTTCCCTATTTCCAATTTCGAATACCGATGTAAGAAATACGGGAATGGATAAGTATCTCTCTCCTACCTTCGGCAATCGCATAATAACACGGGAAGCGATCGGCGAGATGAGAGTACACGATCGAGCTTTTGCACAATCCACCTCGGAGCTGTATGCATCTTCGAACCAAGTGTGTTCTGTGTCTCCTTTCTCCGACCACGCGCATCTCCTCCACGCGATCTCTCTTTCTCTCTTTCTCTGTTTGTCCTTTGCATCCCTCGCACAAATCGTTTCCCTCCCGTCCTCTTCCCTCTTCTCGGCTTATCCCCGTTCGTTCTCGATAATTTCTCCTTGTCCGTTCCAAACCGTTGCCAATGCGACTCTATGAACTCGACTATACGATTCACATATGCGACGGCATATATATATGCGACCTGTCGACGCGTTTTGTATGCACCGGCACGCACGACCGGCCAGTGTGTTGAACGCATCGGAACACATACAGATCCGGCGCGCACAATGTCTCCAATCTGGGCGCCACTATGAATGGTAGAACATCACGAGACGCCGCCGGATCCACGTGGAATTGTCCCTCGAAAATAACGCGTATCCGATTATTCAAATATTTTAGCAATTTTTTCTCTTTTTTTTTTTTTGTCGAATTTAATCATACAGAGTCGATAGTAAATTCGCAACGGTCATCTCAATTACGAAAGACTACTCGGCTGTTCAGGAATTATTCATTATAGAAATTGTTTCTTAAGAAATATGTGGCATTGGCACACAGTTACGCGAAGCACAAAAGAGAAAAGCCTACCTCTTCGGATTGAATTGGAAACCGTGTCCGTGGCACGTTTAATCTCCTTTCCCTCGGGCACGTGATTAATTCCGTCAATCGTAGTTTCGATAATGGACGTATAATGATAAACGACGTTCGACCGAGCGGCATTTATCACGTAAGAGGCGGCGGCCGACAGTGGGAATGGAGGTGAACGGAGTGGAGAACGAAAACGAAGGAGCCCGTTCGAAGACGCGTCGCGGAACGCCGCGGGGATCGAGCGACGTGAGTCAGGGGTCCAACAGGTGTACATCCGCGTCTCGAAAACGGGCCCTGCGGCTTTATAAGCCTTTTCCATTCCCGCCGATATCTTTCGTTGCCCTCCCAACCTATCGCGCGTTTTAAAGCTACAAGCGCAACGTGTGCGTCAAGTCGATACTCTTTTACTTCGTTTTTCATTTTCAATTAAAACTCGAGACGTAGATTTATTTAGGAAAAAAAAAAAAGAGAAACATGTCTTTTTCGCCTTCCGAGTACACGTTTTCTTTCAGGTTTAATGGAAATAAGTCTTGAAATTATTTACCTCTTATTTTCACGTCTCACAATATGGAAAGCTGAAAGCACAGTGCTTGCTAGTTATTAAACGTAATGATATAATGACAATGATCTCTTCTTTATAAGAGGACAACTTTCAGCGTTTTATTTTATTTTATTTAATGCCGTTCGCAGAAACGCCGGCCGCAACGCGTAACCACTGGTCGCACCATGCATTTAATAGCGTCATGAATAAGCCGCCGCTAAGCCCGCGAGCGGCACCTACGGTTGTTCAAATATATTAGCGCCGTTAATACGCGACGCTAACGCGAATAATGAATAACGCTCGCGGGATTTACATCGCGCGACCGTGCGCGTCGCGCATCCCTGCACGTCGCCGAGTCTTTTTCTAATCGCACGTAAATTGCACCATTTCGAACGCGGAAGCACGAACGATTTGTCAAAACTTCCGCGCAAACCGGTCTTCAGGAGGAGAGACCGACGATCCGAAATTGCTCTCTTTGTGCCGATTGCCCGCGGGGGTTACAATCACGGCCAGTCGCGTCGGTCCCTCCGCCGTGAGATTTACGTTCGCGCGAATTAAAGATTTCTTGATTGCCGGTTCCTTCACCGATCCTTCGGCTTCTGACGAAGACAATTTCTCTCGACGAAAAAAAATCACAACGACGATCACAACGATACTACGCACACACTCTCTACACACTCCCACGCACACATTAATCTTAATTCCATTAATGTAATAGCCGTGCTGCCGATATAATGACCTATACAATTTGTCACCGATTATTGAGTGAGATATTTCCATTTTCTCATTGTTTGATTGATTATTAATAGAATTATTTTTATGATAAATGTTATTTATTTGCGCGCTCTACACTCTTGCAGATATTTTATTAAAGCGACATGTCAACCATGAATATTAAAGAACGCAAAATAGAAGTAAAAAATTTAAATGTAGTTGAATAAAATTAAACGATATAAATGATTGGAAAATAAATCAACAGAAGAGTAAGAACTTGCTGGAATTAGCTTAGAGAGACCGAACATAATTAATATAAAGTGTGATTATATGTAATATTGAAAATTTTTTGTTCATTTATAAAAGTCAAAAGTGAAAAATGAGAATCTCAACATTAAGAGAGAATTTTGCGGGATATTATAGAATAAGAGATAAAATCTGAAAATTAATTATAGAGTTATGTGAGAAGTTTAGTGGTTAAGCTGTATATTAAAAGACATCGAGCGAGAGAGAGAGAGAGAGAAAAAGATAAGAGGAACATCGCGTTATTTTTTTAATCACGAGAACAGTTTTCTCTTAAGGGGCTCCCGAGTGTGGATCAACGGGTGTCCATTGAAGCAGGATTCATCGCGCGGCAAGTTCAACAGGAACGCATAAATTGCACGTTCTTAACGCGGAAGCGCAGCCGATTTATCGAAACTTCCGCGCGCGCGAACCGGTCCTCCTTGTTCTCTCGCCGCTCTCCGAAATTGCTCTCTTTATCGGCGATCGCCTCGAGGATGGTTGCAATCACGGTTGCAACCTCTCCCTCCCCTTTAAGATTTACATTCGACCGCGCTTATATTATTGTATACGTATCCGCATGCGCGTGTCGGCGGCGGGTGGACGTGTGCAAACACAGGCAGGTGCACAATGCAACTGCGTGTTACATGAGAGGGAGGTAGAGAAGAACGGAAGGCAGGAGGGGTACATACGGCGGAAAAAAATGTCGCTACGCTTTTTTGTCACTTGGGCGATGCCTCTTCGGTTTCGAGTAACTCCACTCGTCCGCGGGGGGCTCGACGAAACGTGGTGGAGGAAACAGCGGAGCCCCGGGGTCCTCTCCTTTGGGCTGGTCGTGTGTGAACCCGCTGCGCGAAGCGCATACCAAACTCGTCCCTCTCTCTTTCTCTCTGTCCTTGCTCTCTCTGCCTGTTCCTCCTTTCCCTCGAAAGGCTGTCGAGACTCGTCCGTAGCACTGGCAGCGTGCAGTGTCTCTCCGATTCGTGTTTTCTCCTAAGAGTACCTCGATCGTCGTTTTTTTTTTTTATATTTTATTTATTTAAAAAATACGTAATCGTAATGCAATATAAGAATGTAAGAATATAAAGAATATAATGAAAATTTGTAGTTAAATGTATCTTCGTCATTTCCTTTTAATTAAATATTTTTTTATCCGAACCTCAGATACTGATTTCAGTTTCTGATTACTCTTGGAAACTAATTTTTGCCGTTTTTATTTATTTCAGCCGTTTATTTTTACTATATCTCATTAATGTCGATGACGTACGATCGCATCGAGAAGTGTCTTTACTATAATTACAAGTTCATCTCATCAATTCACTCAATGTGAAACGTATTCGTGGAGTAACGT